AGAGAGACAGACAGACAGACAGACAGAGAGAGAGAGAGAGAAAGAGAGAGAGAGAGAAATAGAGAGAGAGAAAGAGAGAGAGAGAGAGGGATAGAGGTCAGTTTGTCTGACACATCAGCACGCCACCATGCGCAGGAAACACTAAGCAGACGACGAGTGTCAGTAACATTCACAGCTCGCGCTCACCAAAGGAATTGTTTCCCGTTCATTCAACTAAACTGTGGTGTACACGAAACATACTTAACCCTGTCCGTACGCCCTGGGGTAACTTTTTACCTCCTGGGTTGTATTCTTCACATTTTCGAATACTTCTAGTGCGAAGATCTCTTTGAAACTTTCAGTATTTCTCCACATAGCATTTTGACAGACTGCTATGTAAAGCGTTCGAATCGGATTAACGAGTAAATTCCTTCTTTGGAAAGTCGTGGCACAGAAGTCCCCACGTCGTAGGGATACGACAGTAAAACACGACTTACGGATAAGGGCAAACGAGAGAGAGAACCTACCAGTGGCACCCTCTAACCACCCGCCAAATCTAACACATTGCTTGTATGCCATTCAGCGTTGCAACAATAAGACGTTGCAAATATGTGCAATATTTATCTTCAACAAACAATACTTATGACTTACAAACTGATATTGAACACTTTATTTAAGCAATATTCAAAGTATCTATTTACAGCAATAATCATAAAATGCGTGGTGAAATCAGGCGCTTGTCAAAATGATAGTATGATGAAAGTCAAGAAATTGGCATTTTCCCCGCAGGCTTGGGAATTTTAACTGAATTGTTGTTTTTTGGGGTTCAACACATTTCGTGCCCATTAAAGAGCACATTTCTGGGTGGATTTTACTGAAAAATATTAATTAAAGGAAGAAGAAATGTAAATTTTCAGTTTCCACAGAATCTCAAGCTAAAGAAATAACTCAACTTTGGCAGCCATTTTCTCGCAAAATTTACCTCTGAAACCAGATGACCCTCACCTCCTTGAATCACACATATCTCGACTTCTATTCAACATAGATCGATATTATTTTCACCCAAAACAAGGAAAGTGGACAGTCCTTAAGATGATACCATCAACTCCGTAGCTAAAAAATTGACGAGAGCCTGATTCCACCGCGTCGTGCCACAAAGTATTCGGACAAAACGCTCCCACTCATTCACCCACGGCACAAGTTCTACATTACTGGGTTCGACACCTGAACTACAGAGAACTAATTTTTTAAAAACAATTCCCAACCTCACCCCCACCCCCTTTCTCCATACACAAACACATACCACTCTTGCACCCTCCCCCCCCAAAAAAAACCCCACCCCTTCCCCCC